GCGGCCGCGGCGGGAGCTGCCGCGCACCTGCCGCAGGCGGATGAGCAGGTCGAAGATGTGCGCTGCAAGGAGTGGAGTGGGGCAAGGGGCGCGTGTAGGTGACAGTCTGAGTCAGCGGCGAGTCTCGCAGCTTGGGCTGTGGCTGCCGTGAAAATGAGACGAGCTCTGTTTGCTCTGCCCCGCGTGGACCCAAGCACAACACCGACACTTGGTGCGCGAGAGGGGGGCAAGCAGCAGGGGCGTGCGGGCAAGACCTTGTTGCTCGCACCCCCAAGCCCCCAGTCCCTCTACACCCCCGCCGCCCGTCCCCCAGGTGTAGCCCACCGTAGTTGTTGAGCAGGGTGCCGGCCCCCACAAAGGCGTCAAACTGGGCGCGGCTCTGGGTGTAGAGCGCCTGGAGGGGCGGCCCGGCGGCGGTCGCGGGACCGAGGGGGGGAGGGGATGCAGGACAATGATGATATGGCGGCAAGGGCGCCAGCAGGCTGAGATGCGGCCAACCGAATGGCCCCGAATCTGGGACGGCATCAAAACCAGCGCAGCGCGGCGGGCGGCCCGGCGCCTGCCTCTCCCACCTCGCCCCCGTCCCGCGGCGCAGCATCCGCGCGGCGAGATGCGGTATGCCAGCCTAGACGGGCCCCTGGCGCGCGCTGCGCGACGCGCTCCCCTCTGCCCCCTCCCCTCTAGCTCCCACGTGCGCGCACCACCCCCACATTCCCACACACACTCACACACACACTCACACACACACACACACACAACGCAACACAGACACACACAACACACAAACATGCGAGCGCACCTCGTAAAAGTCTGCCTCCCGCTCGTCAAAGCGCTCCCGCCGCAGGACCAGGGTGCGCGGGGGCAGCGCCAGGTCGTCCGCGCACTGCACCTTGGTGCGCCGCAGCAGGATGCGCGGCAGGATCTCGCGCTTCAGGACCTGCGGGAGGCGGACAGGCGCGGAAGGCGGGGAGGCAGATGAGGGGGTCCGGGTCCGGCAGCAGGGAGATGCACCTTCTCTACAACAAGACGCCCAAGTAAAACCCTCGAATCACATGCAGATCCTAACCCACCCCCCGGAGCCGCCGGCAAACCCACCCCGGGGAGCCCGCGGGGCCGGCGTGCGTGACCCTTCTCTCCCTCCCCCGCCCCCCGGGGTCCTTCGCCCCGCCCCTCAGGCCCCCACCCACCATCATGGCGGCGCGCCCCTTTCCCTGGTATCCGTGGGTGCGGATGGGGTTGGCCACGTGGCGGTTCCACCAGCTGAGGAGGGCGGAGACAGGGGGCCCAGAGTGTGCGAATTTGTGGTTCAGGGTGGTGTTGTGAGTGCAGCGCTGTGTACTGTCGCGGCCAAAGCACGCGCGCCTCAAAGCAGCGAGGGCGGCCGCGACCCGCGGCCTGGGCGGAAGAGGCGCTAGCCGCGAAGCATCCACGTCATCCCGCGGGGGCGCCGACGCGGCAACCCAGCCCCTGCACAGGCCCTGTCCTTGCATAGACACAGGCCCCCCCAAAAAAATTGGAAAATCAACAGGCAGTGCAGCCGAGCAGGGGGCGTGTGGTGTCGCGCGCCTGTAGTGCTGGTATGGGCCGTGCTCGCAGTGATCGCAGGCCGTCTTGCTGAGGGAGAAGGCGTGGTCCAGGGTCACGCACTCACACTTGGAG